GAGGAAGAGGAGGAGGAAAAGGAGGAGGAGGAGGAGTCTGCACATGCACCGATCCTGGGGCACCCGATGGCAGGCTGGTCTCTTATTGGACGCGCTCAGATTACGGCAAGTTAATGGCGCGATGACTCGCGCATTGGTTTCCTGACACCGCGTGGATCGTCCGGGTCGCTGGCGACTTTCAACCTTGAACGTCCACGCTGGGGTCGCCGCCGAGTCGACACGACACGAGCCTACCGTACTGTGGGCTCGTCACGAATTGGGGCCAGATCGGACGCTTGCAGGACCCGCTCTATGGCATATGGTGGCGCTTGACAAGGTAAGGCGCGAAGGGAACAGCCTTCTGGGGAGGCAGGGGCGCTTTTCCCACAAGTCATGTGGCCCCTCTCAGAAGCTTCCAAGAAAACCTCTCTGAACGCAGACGGGCTTGTGTGGTGTGATCTCAGGTGGCCGACCCAATGGCTACGCCTCCATCTTGTGCGCCGTCGAACTCTATCGAATCGAGCTCCAGAGAACTAACTCAGCAGTCGCAGGACTCATCTTCAAAACCCGCGTTTTCGAGCCACGACCGCCTCGGCCATGGATAACCTCGGCTGGTTCGCGGCGCGAGAACGTGGGCGTTGGTTTGTGACGCCGCGTGGACCGTTCAACCTTGAACGACCGTGACTCTCCGATAGCGCAGGTCACTCGACGTCGGCCGATTCTGGGCCGCTGGCGGTGTTGAACCTTGAACGCCTGCGCGCCGATCTTCGGCTGAGTCTCGAGTGGGAGACGAAAAATCTGCATCAACATATGGTTCGCCAACGTGGACCTCAAACAATGTATTTCTAGCAATGGATGTTGGGCAAGCTATGTGGAGCAGTCTGCGTGGTACAATCTACGTGGTTCGATCTGTGTTGTGCAATCTGTTCTCGACGCGCCCAAATGGACGACGCCGGCACCACGGCAAACCCACGGCACACCCGCCGCGCCCGAGGCGGCGTTTGCCCTGGTGGCCGCGGAGCCCTCCCCAAGACGTAAGGCCACGCGTCGGATAAAACGGCGCAGCGGCATACAGCAGGAGCTCGACCACAAGAAACCGGCCACAAGAAACCAGACCCTGGGACCCCAGGACGTCCATTGCTTCTTGGTGTGGGAGCGTCACGCTTTCCATAGCAAAAGCATCGAAACCAAAGAATCCCAGGGCGCCCTGGAGGCAAGCACGGTGATTCTTGGCATGGGTTACTACTGTATATTGCGCAATGTGCAATCTGTGGTGTGCAAGATCCGCCGACCCTGTCGGCGTGTGGGGTGCTTGTCCTGTCCCGTCGACGGGGAACCTTCTTTCGTCCCCTCCTTCCCATTATCCTCTCCCGTCGGGGGAGAGAAAGAGAGAAAGAGAGAGAGAGAGAGAGCACCCTTCCTCGTTCGGGGAACGGGTTCGGCGCTTGAAGGATTCCATCCACGTCCTCATTACGTCAGAGGGAAGCTCCTTCCCTTTGTCCCTTCCCCCGGGGGGGGGGTCCCAGGGGGGGGGTCCCAGAGGGGGGGGGGAGATTCGCATCGCCTCTGGGGGTCCTCCTTTCCCACGCCGGTCGTTCTCCGGCGCGCCGGTCTTCCTCGGGTCCTCCCCCCCAGGTGGGGAGGAGTCCAGGGGGGGGAGTCAGATACTCATCCGTCCCTGGGGGTCCTCCTCCCCCTCCCCTCCCCTCTCCCACGCCGGTCCTACTCTGGTCCTCCTCCCCAGGGAGGGGGTCCCCAGGGGGAAGCCCTTTTCCTCTTCCTTCTCCTCCTCCTCCTCCTCCTCCTCCTCCTCGTCCTCCTCCTCCTCATTTTCCTCCTCCTTTTCCTCCTCCTTTTCCTCCTCCTCCTCCTCCTCCTCGTCCTCCTCCTCCTCCTCCTCCTCCTCCTTACGACGCCATCAAGGAGTGCCGCAACCAGTTCTTCGATGCCGCCCAGAAAATGAGCCCACAGGAGCTTTTCGAGCTGATCCCCGACGCACAAGGTCAAAAGGTTGCGATCTCATCGCAAGGTACCCTGTGGACGCGTGGGAAAGGGCAGGGAGGAAGGCCTTTCCTGTACAGAGCTGGTGTGAGCTGGCGCTGAAGATAGCAATGAACGACGAAGAGAACCTCCACAAAGTCATGAAGGTCGCCTTGAAGGACCTGGGCAACGAGGACAATCTCGACCCAGAGGAAGTGAAGAGGCTGAAGGAGCGCCAGAAGCTGCGAGACAGCATGCAGACCTTGCTGGATGGCACCGAAATCTTCGAGGCAAAGTTCGGCTGCCCCAAGTGGGAGGAGACGACTGCGGCCAGCTCCTCCAGCGGCCACCAGTGAGTGCACCCACTGGAGCCTACTGGAATGCCAAGACTGCTACTCGAGGCAAGCTGGACGAGCCCACTGGCTTCCAAGAGAAGCATTAGCGAGGTTTTCTCGGAGTGCTATTCTGGGCAAGCTGGACGAGCCCACAGGCTGCCAAGAGATGCGTTAGCGAGGTCTTCTCGGACTGCTACTCGGGGCATACAGGACGGGCATCGCGGAGTGCTCGCACTGTCATCGCAATGGGAAGTATGCTTTGGAGTGCCGACAGGTACACTACTGCAGGTGTCGAAGGAGAAAAAAGTGATCATCACGAAATCCACCAGAATGCTTCCTCGATGACCCCACCTACTACATACCGTGACTACCCGTATGCTCCACACGTCGAGGGGGATCGGGAGTACAGATGCGACAATGCACGGGGCACCTCTCGGACAGACCGAGAAGTGAGCCGAGCGGGAGGGGAGCATAGAATTAAAACAGTAGAGTAAGCACCCCCCCAGCAACAGTTTGGGGACACGGGCCTCCCAACCTTCCCCCCTCTCCTCCTTTTGAATGGTCGTGTCGTCGTCTCCTCCCCCCTGGCTTGGGCGCGCTGCTATGCCCGCGCGTCCCCTCCCCTAGGGCACGCGGAAGGGCCAGCAGCCGCTCCCCCCGCAGTGACCCGCAGGGACTCGTGAACGTAAGGTAGCGAGCCTCTCTTACAGGGGACACCTCGGAGCTCACTCCTTGAGCAACGTGGTATGCCCCCTGCCGGCCCTAGCGAGAAGGCAGGGCTGTTGCACAATCAATCGAAGGGGATTATGGCAGAAGTGCGCAAGACACTAGAGTAGGTGTTTTGACGTTGCAACCCCTTTATGCGGATGTCCTTGTCCTTGTCCTCCTCCTCGATCTCCTCCTCCTCCCCCTCCTGGTCGTCGTCGATGTCTTTCAGAGTCGGCGGCACCAGCCGTCAGGCCTTGCCTCACAATATTAGCGGAGCTGCCTAGGAACCAAAACAAACAAAAAAAGAACTCGGAAGCCCGCGCGGTTCTATCGTGGATCGGCGCTGCCCCCCCCCCCAGCTTCTCTGGCGCGCGGAGCGCGCCGCTCAGCGCCGCTCCGAGAGAAGTCCACGTGGACCTCCGAGCCCTTCGCTACGGCGAAGGGAATGTTTACCTCTCCGCGTGCCCAACCATGAGAATCGTTTATCCAACCCCATCCCCAGCGGCGTGGCCTGGGCCCCACCGGCCGATCTACCCCCCTTAGATGGGGACATGGGCCGTTCCCTTCGGGTTTCGAGGGGGGCATCCCAAACCGAGGTGGTACTTTGGTGGGGGTCTCGAAGGGGATGGGGATGGGGGTGGGGATCGGATGAACGACACTGAAACCCATGGCCAGGCACTTGCATGCAAAGGAACAAACTCAAGGGCCGCCGTGCGCCCTCGCGGCAGGGGCGGCCATCTCGGCCTTGCTGGCGACCGGGCTGCGGCCCCGCTTACGATGGGGGGTTCCTGTTATCTCCGCGCTCGAGGACTCGCGCGCATCAAGAGAGTTCTCTCTGGTGACCCTTGCGCTGTCGGCGGGTCGCCACAGCCCCGCCAAGGGAAGAGAAATCAAGGGCCGCTCCTCTCCCGTGCCACGATGGCGGCTCGCTCGGCCCTGCTTGCGACCGCCTAGCGGCCTCTTTTGATCGCCCCGACAAGCGAGGCGAAGCCGTGCGGTGGAGGCAATGGATGGGGAACCACACGATACGGAATCCAGGGTCTGACAGCGGTCGGAACCCCAATCGTGAGCTGGTCACTGGTATCACCGCCGCCCTCGTCAGATAAGGAGTCCTCCAGGGTCTGACACCTCATTGGCACATTCCTTAACCGACGCCCCAACCGTATGTCTATGCACCTGTTTTTGTGGTGGCTGGGGGGTCCTGCTCAGGATGGGCACCCGCACAACCAGTCAGTAGGGGCAAGGAGTCAAGTAGGCAAAGTTGGCATCCAATACCCATCTCCTCCTTCCTCCTCCTCCTCCTCCTCCTCCTCCTCCTCCTCCTCCTCCTCTTCCTGGGTCCTCCTCCTCGTCCTCCTCCTCCTCGAACCTTCTCCTCTTCCTCCTCCTGCTCCTCCTCCTGTTCCTCGTCGTCGTCGTCCTCCTCCTCCTCTGGAGAAGGCGGCCCAGAGGAGACAAGGAACGAAACCTGCGTACAATTTAATGGTGCCTCTTCCCCTACCTACGGCAGGTCCGTGTCGTGCCGACTTCGGCGTCGGTCTCTGACACCGCGAGGACCGTTCAACCTTGAACGACCGGCCGCTTCGGAAACGCAAGATCGTTCAACATCGACCGATTATGGGTCGCCGGCGGCGTGAAACGTGGAACGCCAGCGGGGGGGTCGCCGCCGTTCGACACAGCGTTAAACCTACCGCACATGAGCATAAACTTCCGGAGGTCCGCGCAAACTTCTTGGACCGGCGCCTGGCGCGCGGAGCGCGCCAGGGGCGGCGCGAGAGGCGCCGCCAGGGGGGGGCCCAGCGCGGATCCAAGAAGTCCGCGCGGAGCTCCGAAAACCTGTGTGTACGCTGGGGACGCACGAGATGGGCACGTAGGGGACAAAGAGGCACGCTGCGCTGCCCAGATGTGGTATGCACCACCTCGGCCCCCAGCCGGATGCAGCGCCTTTTCTCCTTCGCCTCCACGGGGAGGTCGGCGGCGCGGCGGGGCGGCGGTCTCCTGAGTCTCGCCTCCTCCATGCCCAGCCCCGCGCACCCGGCTCCCGCGCCGCTGGGCCGCCAGCCTGCGCCCGGGAGGCGTCGTGCCAGTCGTGCCCATCCTCGCCCACAAGGGGGGGAGGGGGGGTAGGCAGACGAGGTCTACACGCTATCCACCGCCGCTGGCCGGGGCCCATCCTGGACGCAGGAGCGGTGCACGTGCCTGCCTGGCCAGGCCAGGGGTCCAGGATGGGCCTGGCCAGCGGCGGTGCATAGACGTAGGTGCCGTCGCCCGAGTGGGGGCAGTGGAGCAGGCGCAGGAGGGCAGGGCGATCCCAGCATGCTCGCGCAGCACGGCAAGGACCGCAGTGGACCGCTGCTGGGAGGGTTTAGGCGTCAGGGGGCCCTCGCGGGGCTCGGGGACCGCCCCAGAGCGACTCGGGATGAGAAGCCCGTGCTGGGGAATGGGTCCCAGTCTCTGCGGGTCCACGCTGAGAACGACTCGTGGCGTCGGGTCGGTGGCCTGGGGAAGGAGGGGCGGTCGAGCATGGAATCTCGGGGAGTCCACCAACCAGCCGGCGCCGTAGACAAGCATCCGCAGCAGCGCGGCACCCCAGGACGGAGGAAGGATTGAAGAGGAGGAGGACGATGACGAGGACGAGGAGGAGGACGACAACAACGAGGAGTCCCCCGCGCAGGTCCCCCGCGCTCATGAGCTGGAGGGCCGGTGCGCTGCGGCGCGCCGGCTCCTCGACCATGACGGCTGGATACCTCGACAGCCGAGCGCGGTCACAGAGGCGGGCCTCTGGACATGGAGAGGGGACGAGCTGCGCGGGCAGCCGGCCACCGAAGAGTATGGAAAGAGCCGGGTCCTACTGCGGGCAAGTGTCCAGCGTGAACAACTGGCGAACGCGAGCGACAATGCTCGGTGTCGCGCACAACGGCGTTAACACCGTGTGTATCGTCGTGGCGACGAGCCGAGGCGGGGCAGACATTTACAGTGATAGCAATTCCACTAAACGCGGATGACCACGTGACTCATCATGTTCCTGGAGAGCTCGCCGAGAACATGATGGAGGCGGAGGGTGAGGGGGGGAGGGGGACGAGAGGGAACATTCCAAGGCCAGCTTCCAATCAGGGAGACCTTGCAGAGCCATGCGCATGCGCGCAGCGGTGGTCATGACCTCCAGGGAAAAGATGGCGCCCGCTGGGAACCACGTGGCCAGACTCAACACCTCAGAGCATGATAGTGATATAGAATGGACTCTGACGGGGGTGAAGGGCCAAGAATTCCGAGAGAGCCATTCGAGGTGTACAGACATTGGGCTACACATGAGAAGGTCGGCACCGCGTGGGAGGCATACAAACGGACCGCGCTGTCGGGCGGGGCGTTGGTCGTTGGAATCTCACTGGCGCGGCTGCACCACTTCTGCCGTTGGCCGTGCCACTGCCGAGCACTATCGGCACCTGGCCCCACGAACACTTCAAAGCAGCTAGCGCACGAGGCAATCTTGAACCGTCCCCACTCCCCACCTAGCATGCGCAATCTCTCTGGGAGCCGAGCTGCGACGGGAGGTGTCGAAAGCGCATAATCACAGCGGCACCACCGCGCACTTGGTGGCCTGGGGCGCCAACCCAGCGAAGCGTCTCGCGGCGCGAAAAGGCGCCGACGGGAGGCTCATGGCACTGAACTTCGTAGCTGGCGACGCTCACGTCGTCCGCGCTGCCGCCAACGTAGCTGGCGTCAGGCGACGGAAGGCCGGGTAATCTGATCGCAGCAGTGGGGCCCATGGGCCACGGCTACCGCCCACGCCGCTCCAGATGTCCGGCAGCCCTGGGCTGCGCCAACCAAGACAGGGAACCCTCGAAATCATCGCCCAGCTGCGCAGATCCGCACAACCGGCTGGAAATACGAGGCGCTGAACATCCAGACGTGTCCGATCGGGAGACCAAGCCGCCGTTTTGGACGCCCGAAATGGGCACGGAAAGAATGGGTACAATGCCCAACAGCAAATGTTGTCCCAATCCAGCAGCGGCCGCTGTTGGGCAGGCGGCCTTCTGTCTCAAATGGACACAGGCCGCGGCGGCGCGGACAGCGAGTCCTGTTCAAAGTGGACAGGAACTGCTGTTGGGCATCATGCCCATTCTTTCCGTGCCCATCTCGGGCGTCCAGAGCGGGCCGTAGAGCACGCGCGCGCCAGATCCGGGACAGGCTCGGGAAAGCGGCGGCAAGATCGTCACTCGCGAAGGTCAGCACCCGCTCCTCCGCTCGCGGCAGAGCGCCCGGGCGCCGCGCCGCCGCACCAAGGGCTACCGCGCGGCTGCAGAAGTGCCTGCCGCGAACGGAACGCTTCCGCGACTCTCTGGCGCCCGCTTCCGCGCGGGGCCGCGGAGATTGAAGGCCGCGGCGCTGGCGAGAGCCTCAGTGTCAGTGCTGCCGAGCATGCGGGTGCGCAAGGCATCGGGCGCGCGGCGCACCGCGGTGGCGTCTTCCACGAGCTCCCCCCTCGAGATGCTGGCCACGTCCGCAGCGCCTTGAGGTGCAAGGGGGCGTCGCTGCCAGAGTACAAAGGGGATTGCAAGTCCTCGCTGCCCCTGTCCTCAGCGCGGCCTTCACTTCAGCCTCGGAGGGCGCCGCCAAGGCCAAGACGTCACCAGCAGACATGAGCAGGTTGATGTAGGCCTCGAGCCCCTCCTCGTACGCGGACGGTTTCGCGGAGATCGGGTCCCAATGACTCCTGATGGCGATGGGCATGGTCTGGGCATCGGAAGCCACCTGGGCGCCGGACGACGAGTCGTCGATGCGGACGCCCGCTGGGACGACGGGGGCCCAGGCCAGGGCACGCCGCATAGCTGCGCGCTCGGCTCGTCGCAGTCCCTCTGCAGCCAGGGGTTGGCTGGCAGCCCACGCTTCGCGAGCTCGGCGTGCGACGGCCTCGCGATGACAAACCTGCTCCGTCGCGTTGGCGACTCGGGCGGCGCGGGCGAACCCTTGCGGGTCGGAGAGCACCACCGCACCGTCCACCACGCCGATGTGCAGGGCGCCCAGCTCGGTGGAGTTCCGCAAGAGGTGTGCCAGGTGGTGGCTCTGCTCTTCCCCTGCACGCTGGCGCTGGTGCTGGCTCGACGGTCATTGCGTCTGTGGCCCCTGGCCTGTGGTCGGCGATCCAGGCCCTGCTCCAGCGCCAGGTCCGTGACGCCACGGCAGCCGTCGAGGCGCAATCGATGCCGCTCCTGCGCCAGGCCCAGCAGGACCACGCGTCGCTTCTCCAGAACTAAGTCGGGCGTGTCCCCCTACAGGGGGAATTCTGGGCGACAAATGGAAAATACTCAAAACATACCCCCCACTACTCAAAAATAATCAAAAAATCGTCCACGGACTATTTTCGGACTATTTTTGAATCTTCAGCTCAGTCAAAGCGGCGATGGCGTTGCCGCCGGTGTCGCGGGACAGCGGCTGCGGATCGACAACCTGCCATGGCCGACCAGCAGCATAGGCCTCGCCGACGGCGGGCGGCTGACCGAGTGGGACCGGGAGGTGGCCCCCACGCTGTTCTCGACTGTGCGCCCTCGCCATGATGCTGATGATGATGGTGATGATGATGGTGATGATGACGATGATGATGATGATGATGATGATGGTGATGATGATGATGATGATGATGATGATGATGATGATGATGATGATGATTAAAATGACGATGATGACTATGACGATTATGATCACAATGATGATGCTGCTGCGGATGATGATGTTGTTGTTGATGATGATGATGCTGATGCTGATGCTGATGATGCTGATGCTGATGCTGATGCTGATGCTGATGATGATGATGGTGATGATGATGATGACGATTATGATGACAATGATGATGCTGCTGCGGATGATGATGTTGCTGTTGAGGATGATGATGATGCTGATGCTGATGATGCTGATGCTGATGCTGATGCTGATGATGATGATGATGATGGTGGTGGTGATGATGATGATGATGATGATGATGCTGATGATGATGATGATGATGATGATGATGATGATGATGATGATGATGATGATGATGATGATGATGATGTGCGGCAGGCCCTGGCGAGTTGGACTGCTACGGGCCAGCTCGCCACTCGCATGTTCGAGTTCTATGGCAACATCCCCGCCAGACGTTCCTGGCTACGTGCCAACAGGCGCGTATCGCGTCGCCCTGCCCCAGGCCCTGGCTCTGGGAAATGCCCTCCGGAAGGGCACTGAGTGGTGCAACTTCGAGACCACCGACATGGACCACACCCCCGCCCGCCTCCCCGTGAATCCTGACAAGACCGCGCCAACGATACGCCAAGAGATGCACGCGAGGAAGCTGCAGCTGGCCCTGCAGAAGGTCGCCCCGCGCAACACGTGGCAGGAGGGGTGCGCGCTCGCGGCGAGGTCCACTCTGCGGACTGCGGACGCAGGTGGTGCGCATCGAGATGCGCATCGAGATCGGCGCGGACCTCCGAGTTTTTATGTTTATGACACTTTTTGTTCCCCTAAAAACGTCCAACGAAACCATGCCGCCGCTGACCACCTGCGCCTGGAAAAAACCGCAGCCCTTCATGAGCTCCGCGCCTCCCGCAGACACGGTGGCGTGTGCAACGACCGCTTCGCACCCTGGAGCTCGGCAAGCTCACCCGCGACGGCTACGGCGGTGAGCTGCAAGGCCAATGGGCTCCTGTGCTGTCGGGTCGGGCGAAAGGGGGGGATAGCAAAGGGGGGGGTTGAGAATCAGCTCACGTAGCTGATTTTCCCGGCGCCTCCCGGCGCCGGAAGCGGCTATGTATCGAGGAATGGGCCCCTCGGTGGGGCCGAAACCAGCTGCATGCAGCAGATTTCGTAACCCCCCCTTTCCCAATCCCCCCCTTTCGTCCGGCCCGATGCTGTCGCCGCAAGCGGAGTCTCCGCAAGTTGCGCGTGTTCTACGAGCACGTGCGCCGCGGGGCCGCTGTGGTCATCCAGGAGGTGCACGGCTCCGAAGTGGCCCTCCGGCAGTGGCCAGAGGCGCAACCTGTTGAGTACGACTTCCACGCCTCGTCCTTGTCGGCGCGAGCTGGCGGGGTGGCCGCGCTCTGGCCGCGATGACTGCACCCGGCACCCCCAGGTGCGCCACATCCCGCTCGCCCGTGTAGAAGAAGAACAAACACCACAAACATAAAACTGGTGGCGCTCCGCGCGGATTTCTTGGATCCGCACTGGACCCCCCTCCCTGGCACGCGGAGCGCGCCAGGGGCGGCGCTGGAGGCGCCGCCGGGGGGGGGGGTCCCAGCGCGGATCCAAGAAATCCGCGCGGAGCGCCAACAGTTTACGTCTGTGGCGTTTTTATTATTCGACGCATCCCGCTCGCCCGTGGGCGCGCCATGCTCCACGAGTTCTGCCACCGGGAGTCCCACTTCCAGATCCGATTGCTCAGCGTGCACAACCATGAGCTGTCGGAGCGGGGCCGGCAGGACCATGACCACCCGCACCGTCCATGCATGTCCGTGGGCGGCCTCCGTATTGACAAGACGGCCCCACAGAGCTACGAACACCCGGGTCAGGAGGAGGAAGATGAGGAGGCACAGCGATGCAGGAGGAGAAGAAGGAGGAGGAGGAGGAGGAGGATAGAGGAGGAGAAGGAGGAGGAGGAGGAGGAGGGAGCATGAGGAGGAGGAGGAGGAGGAGGGAGGAGGAGGAGAGGGAGGATGAGGATGAGGATGAGGATCGGAGAGGAGGAGGAGGAGGAGGAGGGAGGGAGGAGGAGGAGGAGGAGGAGGAGGGAGGAGGGAGGAGGAGGAGGAGGAGGAAGAAAGGACGAAGACGAGACGGCGGCGAGGGGTCCCACGTGCGACCCCTCCTCGCCGAGGACGGCAAGGAGGAGGACGGCGACGGCGAGGGCGAGGGCGAGGGCGAGGGCAGGGCTCGAGCCAGACGGTGCTTTTCGTTTTCGCTTCGCCTCCGCCTCCTTCTCCTCCTCCTCCTCCTCCCTCCTCCTCCTCCATCACCTCCTCCTCCTCCTCCTCCTCTTCTCCTCCTCCTACTTCTCCTCCTCCTCCTCCTCCTCCTACTACTACTCCTTCTCCGCCCCTGCTGCGAAACCACAAAACGAAAAAACGGCCCACGGAATCGCCAACAAGAGAGCCGTTTCTGCTTCGAGCCCCATGGGCGAGGGCGACGACGACGGGCAGCCGGCGGCGGCGAGGCAGCGGCCCCGACCCCAGACATCCGACGTCTCGATGTTTGTTTCGAGACACGGGCCTCCCTCCTCCCTCCTCCCTCCTCCTCTCCTCCCTCCTCCCCTCCTCCCTCCTCCTCCTCCTCCTCCTCCTCCTCCTTCTCCTCCTCCTCTTCCTCATCCTCCTCCTCCTCCTCCTCATCATCATCATCTTCCTCCTCTTCCTCCTCCTGCTCCTCATCGCCCTCCTCCTCCTCCTCCTCCGACCACTTCCCCGGGACCGGTTTTTCGTCCCGCGAGCGGTTTTTTGACTGCCCCGAGGCCCAGCGAGGGCCCCGAGAGGCCGAAGACGACGAAAAACCTCCGTCTCGATTTGTGTTCCAAACGCCCTGTGTCTGGCTGGGGCTGGCGGCGGCGAGGCAGTGGCCCCAACCCGAGTCCTCCGCGCCCAGGAGGGCGACGGGGATCAGCACGCCGGCCTCCAGCCTCAGGAGCCGGGAGGACAGGGCGCCCGCGGACGCCTCCCCCGTGGAGGCGCAGCAGAGCACGAGCGCGAGCGCCAGCCAGCGCCCGCGCCACCTCGGGGACGAAGGCCAGACCCAGACATCGAGCGTCTCGAAAACATCGAGACGGAGGTTTTTCCTCGTTTTCGCCTCTCGGGGCCCTCGCCGGGCCTCGGGACCGCCAAAAAACGGCTCGGGACGAAAAACCGGTCCCGGGAGAGGTCAGGGGCCCCTGTCTCGAAAAAATCGAGACCTCGGATGTCTGGGAAGAGCCGACGCTCCGACACAAACTGGAGCGTCCAGTTCGGGACCGTGTTCGGCCTCACGGGGGCCCTCGCCGGGCCTCGGAAGGGTCAAACACGGCTCGGGACGGAAAACCAGCCCTGGGGAAGTGGTCCGGCCCTCTGGGGCTCACGCATGGAAATGGTTGGAGTGGCCGGGCGTCTGGGAAGGTCGAAGCTCGGGAGCGGCCAAGGGGGGGGTGTCCAAGAGGGGGGGTGCAAATCATGACCGGCGGCACGTGCGCGGCCCAGCGGGGGGGCCAGGGACGCAATGAAATGAGAAGAGGCGCCATAAACTCTGGGGAAATATCATGGCCCCCGCCATGATATCCCCCCCCTAGTAATCACCCCCCTCTTTTCCGCCCCCGAGAAGCGGGGCCCGGGGGGAAGCGGGCCCCCCCCGACCCCCTCGCGCTGTGGAGGACAACACGCCGGGAGCTGTTTTTCGCTGTTGTCGGCCTCTGGGGGCCCTCACGCCCAGACATCCGACGTCTCGATTTTTTCGAGGCACGGGCCCCCGACCTCTCCCGGGACCAGCTTTTCCTCCCGAGTCGTTTTCCGACGGCCCCGAGGCCCGGCGAAGGCCCCGAGAGGCCGACAGCGAGGAAACACCTCCGTCTCGATGTTTGTTCGAGGCGCTCGATGTCTGGGCGGGGCCTCGGGGCCGTCCAAAAACGACTCGGGCGACGACGTGTCCCGAGGTGTCCCGCGGTGTCCTATGGTGTCCCGTTGAGTGAGGTCGATAGTGAGATCGATCGTGAGACCGATAATGAGATCGAGAGGTGTCCCGCGGTGTCCCGTGGTGTCCCGTGGTGTCCCGTTAAGTGAGATCGATAGTGAGATCGATAGTGAGGTCGACAAATGTCCCGTGGTGTCCTATGGTGTCCCGCTGAGTGAGATCTCTCCCCCCCCCCACAACGTCCATATCACCCGAAGGGTGGTCGTACTGGTACAACGAGCCCGCCGCGGGCGCCGATTCCTTCTTCAAACCAATGTGGATCGGTCGCGGGTGGGTCGCGGGTGTCCTGATTTGGTGTGTGTCATGTGACGTATGTGGGATCCTGGGATGTGTGCCGATTGATGTGTGTGGCCGGCGCAGGAGGAGGAGGAGGAGGAGGAGGAGGAGGAGGAGGAGGAGGAGGAGGAGGAGGAGGAGGAGGGAGGAGGATCGAGGAGGAGCGAGGAGGAGGAGGAGGGAGGAGGAGGAGGAGGAGGAGCGAGGAGGAGGAGGAGCGAGGAGGAGGAGGAGGAGGAGGAGGAGGAGGAGGAGGGGAGGAGGAGGAGGTGGGCCCCTTCGAAAAAGGGGCCCGGCGGGCTGCTCCACGGAACGCCGCGGGCCCCGCGCCCGCAGAGCGCGCTACTTCGATCTCTTGTTGGCGTGCAGGCGGGCTCCCCCAAACCGATGCGCTCTGCCTGGAGCCAGCTCCTCCTCCTCCCTCCTCCCCTCCTCCTCCTCCTCCTCCTCCTCCTCCTCCTCCTCCCTCCCTCCCTCCCTCCCTCCCTCCTCCTCCTCCTCCTCCTCCTCCTCCCTCCTCCTCCCCTCCTCCCTCCTCCTCCTCCTCCTCCTCCTCCTCTTCCTCCTCCTCCTCCTCCTCCTCCTCCTCCTCCTCCTCCTCCCAGAGTCCCAGAGTCGACACTCCGCTCTGCTCTGACTCGCGTTGACGCCTGCGACTGGCCGCGCTCGTGTCCGTGGAGACACGCGCGGCTGGAAGCTCACGGGGGACATGCGGAGGCCCATTGCTGGATGCACGTGCGGGTGGCTGGCGCACTTGGCCAGACGACGGCCGAGCCCTGGAAAGATGTGCGGCAGCATGTGTATCCAGCTCTCGCCCAGGCTGGCCACGCCATGTGCATGCAGCCTCCTGACAAGAAACACACACACACACACACACACACACACACACACGCAGGACGCATGTCCTGTTTAAAACCGGACATGTGTCCTGTATTAAACAGGACGTGGCCTGGCTCAAAACAGAGCAGAAATACAATTGAGCCCAACAAAGTGTGTCGGGCCCAATGTTCCCAGCGAAGCAGGAATGCAAGGGAGAAGAGCAGGACAGCTAACGAAGGAGGATGCCGACGACGAGGCCACTTCCCGACTTGGGCCCAGGAGAGCCCAGACCCTTCCCAGAGCGCGAATCGGCAGCAGAAGTGGAATCGAGCAGGCAGTTTCGCCCTGGCCCCGCCTCCCTCGCCCCCTCCTTCCTCCCAGCTCTCTCCTCCCTTCTTCTGGCCTCGCGTTAAGAACCTTGCAACTTAATGAAGGGGACGAGGACGACGAGAGGAGGAACACAACGACGACGACGACAATGGTGGGCAGGAGGAGGAAAAAGAGGGAAGTGGTAGGAGCGAGGAGGAGGAGGACGAGGAGGAGGAGGACCAGTGTAAACCCGAGAGTCATTAACGATGTTGGAATCCACCCTCCCTCCAAACTCCCTCGTCATAGGCCCCTACAACGGTTTATTTCCATTGAAGGAACTGCGTCGTTGGAAGACAACCGTTTGAAGACCCTGGAGCGTGCCAGCGCCACGGATCAACCTGACTGCTGCGCCTTGACGATCCTGAATCGTGCCAGAGCGCCATTCCTAGGACTTCAGCACCGCGAATCAACGTAACTGTTGCGCCCGCATAATCCTGATCACCTCCGTGAGACTCTTGCAGATTTTATAAACGAACACGCGCGGCGCTAAAACGAGAACAACATCTTGCACATGAACCGCAATCAATCCGTGAAACCCTTGAATGTTTAAGACAACGAATGTGCACGGCGCTAAAACAAGAGCCACACGTTGAAAACCATCCGCACTCAATCCATGAAGATCCTGCATCTTCTCTTTTGAGTAAAAAAACACGAATGTGCGCGGCGCCAAGGCGAACGACCCGCCCTCCATCTGCGAAGCTGGTGCCAATTTGAAAACTTCAGGTTCATAAATGGTGAGGAAGTCTCTGGCGGAACGCTCGACCCACCCTACACACTGGCCTCGGGATGCGGCAGGGAACAGCTAGTTGTAAGGACATGAATGGAAGAGGAGGAGGAAGGAGGAAGGAGGAGGAAGAGGTGGTGAAGGAGAAAGGAGCCGTTCTGCCGTTCTGCCGAAGAAAATTCCCGTAGGTATGCGCGCTCTGCAACAGTAGCAGCAGCAGCAGCAGCCCTGCAGGCATCTGCTATAGGGAGGAGGAAGCGGGACGGAGGAGGAACAAAAAGAGGGAGGGAGGAGAGGAAAGGGAGGGAGAAGAGGAAGGCGAGGAAGGGGAGGGATAGGGAGGGAGGAGAGGGAAGGGAGGGAGGGAGGAGAAGGAGGGAGGCAAGCTAGGCGCCCTCGCGCCATATTTGACATCCTACTCCTCTCACCCATCTCATCCAATTGGGCATTATTTTCTCTATCCGCGGACGCGCGTCAGGGAGGGAGGAAGGGGAGAAGGAGGGAGAGAGGAGAGGGAGGGAGAGGGAGGGAGAGGGAGGGAGAGGGAGGGAGGCAAGAGGGAGAGGAGAGTGAGGGACAACGGGGGACACGGGAGGGAGGAGAGGGAGGGGCGAGGGGGGGGGGGGAGAGAGAGGCAGTGGGGAGGAGGGAGGGAGGGAGAAGAGGGGGAAGGGGAGGGACGAGGAGGGAGGGAGAGGAGGGGAGCGAGAGGGAGGCGGGAGGGAGGGAGGGAGGGAAGCCAGGGAGAGGGAGGAGGGAGGGAGACGGGAGCGAAGGGAGAGGGCCCCCGAAGAGGAGCGCGGGAGGCGAGGCTCGCTCGCAGCAGGCGCGCGCGCGGGCCCCCACACCGGCACGGGGACCCCGCCGCGGCCTCGCAGGGCGGGGGCCGCGCCGCCCCTCCCGGCGGCCCGCCATGGCGCGCGCGTGCGCGTGGGGGGGGGGCGCTGAGGTGCTGGCCCGCCTCCTGCGTCTGCGGCTCTTCCTGCTCCCCCCTTTCTTGTGTTTCTTCCTCTGCGTCCTTCGCCGCCTCCTACTCCTCCTCCTCCCTCCTCCTCCTCCTCCTCCTCCTCCTCCTCCTCATCCTCCTCGTCCTCCTCCTCCCTGTTATTATAAATAGTCGTGTTCCTCCTCCTCCTCCTCCTCCTCCTGCTCTTGTTTCTTCGCCCTCCTCTGTTATTATTATTCTTCCTTATCCACCTCATCCTCCTCCAAGCTTTTTCTATTTCCTCCTCCTACTCCTCTGATTATTACTACTATTATTAGTATTACGCATAGCATGCTCCTTCTTATTATCATTACTAGTAGTATTAGTATCGTTATGTTTCTTAGTATTATTACACTTCTTCTTCTAAGTCTCACCCGCCGAGGGCGCAACGTATAGCGCAACCGATAGGAGACGGTTTTATTCTCAGCCGCCGAGGGCGCAACCTATGGTGCAACCGACAGGAGACGGTTTGATTCTCGGCCGCCGAAGGCGCAACCTAAGTTATGGCGCAACCGAGAAGAGACGGTTTTATCCTCAGCCGCCGAGGGCGCAACCTATGGCGCAACCGATAGGAGACGGTTGTGTTCTCGGCCGCCAAGGGCGCAGCCTATGGCGCAACCGAAAGGACACGGTTCTAGTCTCAGCCGCGGAGGGCGCAACCCATGGCGCAAGCGATAGGGGACGGTTTCATTTCCGGCCGAACCTATGGCGCAACCAGTAGGAGACGGTTGTATTCTTGGCCACCGAAGGCGCAAGATTTGGCGCAACCGGTAGGAGACGGTCATATTCTTTGCCGCCGAGGGTGCAACATATGGCGCAACCGGCAGGAGACGGTTATATTATCAGCCGCAGCGGGCGCAACCTATGGCGCAACCCATAGTAGATGATTTCAGTTTCAGCCGCCTAGGGCGTAACC